TTCATAGCCACTGTTACTGTTCCGTCAGACACCGTTAGGCACTTACTGTTCCGTTTCACATAGGCAGGCACGTGGAAGAACAATTTCTGTTACTGTTCCGTTTGACACCGTTTCATAGGCACTTATAATATAGAAAGATAATAAATTTGCAAGATGAAAAAGTCTTTAAAAATCTTTAATCAAAGTCTACATAAGTCTATGGAAGGCTTTTATTAATTCTTGACAAATTCAAGTCAGTCACTTAAAAATCCACAATTTTTAAAGAATACATCCCAGTTTTCTTCACGTGGTTTAATTTCTTTCGGTTGTATACCTACTTCCTACGTACACGTGCTCATGCTCTCATTATTTTATTATTATTTTCTTCGCCAAATCCTTAAAAATAGTGATAGGGGCACAAAATAAGGTGGTGTGCAACATCTTCAACTCTTGATGGATTACGTGCATTATTGAATAACACAATGCATTGAACCCATACATTTTTTTTTTTTTTAGTTATTGTTAATGTTAATATCAATGGTCGGCCACAAGACGCCAAATATGAAAAATAAATAAATAATAATTTGATCTTGATTAAATGGTCTAGACTATAAAGAGATGATGTCGATCGATATGACTTGAAAAGTCAAGTTACAATTGATCACATTACTTTTGCGCCATTCAACTATACGTGACGTTTATGTGTTGACGATGCGATTTGAAAATTCAAGTTATAATTCAGCACAACATCTTCACGCCATTTGTTAGCGACGTGTATCCACGGGCAAATTTCCTACTAAAGAAAAGAGAGAGAGAGAGAGATTACGAAATTGGGGACTATGCCAACCTGGATAATAACGGAGTAATTATTATTTTTCTAAAAATGAAATCATTCAAAAATAAAAGGGGACTTTCTTCCTAGAAGATATAGGTTTGGAAATGTATGAGACGATGGGTTAATAATATTATCGTGACTATGTTGGTTATGATAATTATATTCGATTATGACATCAATGTTGATAATGAATTGTTTTGATACAATTATGATGTTCAAAGTTACGGTTTCATGACAATAATCAATAATAGAAATAAAATGTCACGTGATATCATAAATATATGATATTAAAATAATTGTACGCTAAGTTTCATATATTTTTATTACAATAAAAATTATAAGTTTACAATGATGACATTGTCGGAATAGTACTACGATAGTATCCATTTATCATGAGAATAAGAATAGTTATGAAAAATGTGGTATTACTCTGACGATAATAAAAACAAAATAATGAGAATAATAACAAGAGCTACGACTGAATTTAAGATATCGACAGTTCTTACTCTATTTATCGCATATCACCATTCATGATGATCTCACTGCCATGACATCATGATCTCGTTGACGAACCAATCGTGGCAGGCAATAAAGGGATGTCGATGATGGTGGTGGAAGAGGAGAGTTGCTTGTTGTGGTGGTTTCTTGAAATGTTTGCTCAAATCTTGAGCAAATAACATGGTAGTAATTTGTGCTTTACATTGTTTAACTCCAAAACAAGGGGAGAAGAAACCCCTTAGTTCCCTCGT